CCAGGTGATTCTGCGAGCACGGGGGCTTCTTGTGTCGGATAGGGAAACTGGCCGCTTCTCTGGTGCACGCGGGAAGGCTTCGAGGCTCTTGCCGCCTTCCAGGAGCGCGATGGGAGCAACGAGGATGATGTTCGTCAGTTTCTTCGGTGGATTATCGAACGTGGACTGGCGTGCGTGATCCGTCTACCCACGCCGCAGGAGCGCGCCAATGGCGCAGGGGCGGGCGTCCTGTTTCAGCGATCTTCGCCTCCCGCCCCACTCACTCATGGACGCCGTCGGGGCACACTTTGACCCCCGCGCCTTTCAAGCAGCGCTGCCACCCTCTGCTGCAGGCTTGGCGTGACGGGCGCGCACTGCCCAGATACACCTTCCCCAGCCCCACCACGCTCCAGGCCACGTGCCGGTCTCTCTGCAGGGAGGTTGGGCATATAGGTACGCCTTGGAGCTCTTCGGTCAGGGCCTCCCTGATGACTTCGCACCCCCCCCAGTCAAGGCTTTCTTACGCGACCTAGGCTACTGGCCCTCTTTGGAAGCCCCCGAGGGAACGAGGGACGGAGTAGGATACGAAACACTGGGACTGCGACTCCTCACTGGAGGGTCGGGCGCGCGCCTTCCTCCACGGCCTCCCCACCCCCCACCCCCAAGGCGCCCCGAGGGGGACTCCTGGGAGCTTACGATTGAATATCGAAGCCCAGAGTACTGTACGTTTCCAAGATAGCCCGAGGGGGCTCTTCCTGTGATGGTCCGTTGTTTGTTGTGTTTCGCTCGGCCAGGGAGGGTCTCACAATGGCATCGTCCTGAGGTGGTTCAGCACTGGGAGGGCCCAGAGGCCTTTCAGAGGCCTTCAACGCCACCAACTAGCCACAGTATGTCACAGATGCAACTCAAGAGGCACCGCCACGCACGTGGTAGCGGCCACGCCTCTGGTCATTCTGGCCCTGGTTTGCTACGTTTTTTCCTGAGCAGCGGGAGGTTCGTCTCGGTCGAGCATCGACGGTCTGCACCGTGGTGGTGGTAGTCGCTGCGTGAGGGAAACAAGCCCCGAGCAGAGAAACACGCATCTCGACCACGACGACGCCGACGACGACGACAGAGGCGAGGCGCGCAGACGATCCGCGGCGAAGCACAGATTTGGGAAGGGGCCCACTTTGCAGGTTTGGTCAAGCAGCAGGTCGTTGAGCGGTGCTGCAGCACCTGCACGAACGGAAGAGGGGGGGGGAAGGCGCGACCGCGGAGGAGGAGGAGGAGGAGGAAGGGAGGAGGAGGAGGAGGAGGAGGAGGAGGAGGCGGAGGAGTAGGCGGAGGCAGGAGGATTAGGAGGAGGAGAGGAGGAGGAGGAGAGGAGTAGGAGAGGGAGGAGGAGGAGGAGGAGGAGGAAGGAGGAGGAGGAGGAGGAGGAGGAGGAGGAGGAGGAGGAGGAGGAGGGAGGAGGAGGGATGAGGAGTGAGGAGGAGGGGAGGAGGAGGAGAAGGAGGAGGAGGAGGAGGAGGGGTGGGAGGAAGAGAGAGAGTGGGAGGCCCGTGCCGAGGGTGGACGTCAGCCGGGGCGGCGCAGGCGGCCTCGAGGCTCGCGCGTGGAGTCGTGCAGGGGTGTGCCACGCCCGGTCGGGGGCCGGGCCCAGTCGTAGCCGAGGAACTCGGGTGCGCTGCGCAGCCAGTGCAGACCATGCGAGGCGCGCCGTGGCGATCCCAGCGTCCGAGCGGGGCGCAGGGGCGTCCAGGAGAGAGCGAGGGCGAGGGATCCCCTTGCTCGGGCGCCCGGGGCGAAATGCCGACCCGAGACGCGGCCCCAGGAGGGAGGCCCCCAAATCGGGGCAATCGCCCCGAGTCAACGTCCCAGGCAAGTCCGGCGGGCAACGGCCATGGCTTCCGTGCAGCAGTGGGCAACTGCGCGGCGTAGTGCTGGGAGGACTGTCGCCGCTGCTGGTCGGAATGGCCACTGCAGGGTACTCCAAATCACAGGTAAGACTTGCTGGCGGTATGCAAGCATAGGCACGCTAGCGCGCAGGTCTGCCTTGTCAGCTCCAGGCTATCCCGAATGACAAGGATCGCTGTTCGAGCTGGATCGGCGGGTCGGGGACGCAGTCGCTCGAAGAGGCGCTGCTTGTCATTCCTACGAGATCGTTTCAGGTTGAGCTGGCTAGTCTGAGTAACTGGCATGCATGGGACATATGTTCGCACGTACTTCCTCATGTGTGTGTGTGGCTGTTAGTTCGTGACAGCGGCATGCTGGGTGACGGAGGGGTCCTCGTTGGCTGATGGTTTGATGCGCGCCCGTATGCACTTCTGGGTGCTGGTGCTTGCGCTATCATTGCGTTCCCTCATCACCGCAGGTGGCCAGCTTTGGTGAACAAGCAGATGCCCCTGCAGAATTACCCAAAGAACTGCGGCCTTTCTGTGCTTTCTATGAGAGCGGCCAGTGTAAGTTCGGGAACGACTGCTGGTACCAGCACGCTCCCGTGGAGTACGAAGACATCGATGCGGACTCTCCACAGGAGCAGGCCCACTGGGCTTCAAATTAGTTCTCCAGTACACGCGCCTGCTCTCCTTGGCTTCATCTTGCCAGGAGCCGCGACAGCTCGAGGTGCGTGTCACGACACCCTCCGCGTGCGCCGCAGGAGTCAGCGCTGCGCGCACACGTATGACTCGGGCTCCGAGCCGTGCAGCGGAAAAAGGGGGCACGCAGAACGCACCCTCTCCGCGGGCCGTCCCTGGCCCGCCGGGCCCATGCTCTGCTCGATGGACCCGATCCGAGCCCGATGTCGGCACAGCGTGGCCGTGTGTTCAGGCGCGGCCGATCCGATCAGATCTCTATGCCGAGGCGACGTGGCCCGATCAGATAAGCGACGCAAAACAACGGGGTCGTCTGCGCCGACATTGGCGCGTAGGCTGCCCGCGTAAGGTCGTGCGTGAGCGCCCTCGTCTCCAATGTGGCGTGCCGCGCTGCCGGCCCGCGTAAGCTTCGTTTGAGGTCGCTGTGCCATCTCGCGTTAGACCCGTCTTTGATCGTCGCTCAGATGTTCGATCTGATTCCATCCGATTTTTCCCTATTCGATGCCGACCGATCCTTCGCTCGTGGCTGCGAGAGCGTCGCGCCCTGCGTCGACGGCACGCCCATCATACCTCAGCCTCCGCCTCGCCTTGACCTTGATCGCCGGCAGTGGTTTTGGCGTCTTGAGCAGGCCCCTGGGCCTCTGGACGGCCCCAGACGCTCTCAGGAGAGCTCTCGTGCTGCCTCTGGGGACCATCTTGGGATACACGGAGAGTGTGGACTCCCAGCCACACTCCCAACCGACCGCCTTGACGTGATACGTCTTCTGCCGGCTGGATGGGGCGCGGGGTGCTTCCGTCTGCTGGGTCACCTGTGGGGGCGCGAAGGTAGTCGCGCCTCGCTGCCCGCGGCCTGGGCGGAAGAGCTGCCCATCTCCGGGGGCTGGCGCGAGAGCGCGAAGGTGCAGTCGCGCTCTGCGCCTCGCCTGGCGCGGGGTGCGGCTGTCCCAGATTTTGCCAGGCTGGGCCAAGCAGCCACACCGAGTTTCCTGCACGAGCTCTCGATTCAGGGCGCCGGCCCGTGCAAGGAGCCAGCCGCTTGGCTGCCGCATCCTCGGATTAACCTGGGCGATGTGGGGAGTCAGTGAATCATCTCGCGCGCTCCGCCGCCCCCAGTCTGACACGTCATCAGTTATGGGACGACGCTGAGATCGATAGACAAAGGGCAGAAATATTGAACATGCAATTCACATGCCATCCTGCAAGCAAGCGCAAGGCGAGAGAGCGGGCCATGGTTAAGCATCGAGGTCGTTCTGCGCGTGAAGTCGGAACACATATTCGGGGCCATGGGCTTTGTCCTTACGGTACGTTCGTTCTGGTTGTTGATTTGTGCGCGGGTAATGCAATTTCGACCTCGGTTCATGCTTCGTCGTTCTCAGTCGGAAGTTTGCATAGACGAGAGGGTGGCCCCTGTCTCCCTCGCGGTACGCTCGGTTTGATTGTCCATGCTGGGCTGTCCAGATGGCGTCTCACCTTTTTCTCTTTTTCTCAGTGCTGTCTGCCTTCTCTATCCTTCATACTTCACCTTACCCCTCTTGTCTTATCTTTCTTTGTCACCTTCTCTTCATCACATCTCTCTCACTTTTTCTTCTTTTTCTCATTCTACTTTCTCTGTTCTTTCTTCTTTCTCTTGGCTGTCGATGGGTCACCTGCTTATACCACGCCATACGTCTGATCTGTACGGAGGTCAGGAGGGGCGACTGAGGTGTATAGAGAGAAAGAGAGAGAGAGAGAGAGAAGTACAGAGAACAGAAAGAGAGAGAGAGAGAGAGACACACACACACACGGAGAGGAAGGCGGAATGAGAAGCATGAAGATTTGTATAGGTTCCAAAAGCACTCGTTGCGCATCTAACGCGATATGCAGAACACGCAGTTGTAGAGTTTTGGGCTGTCAGGTGTCACAAGAGGCCCGTCGTAGGCCTACCGGCATCTTCGTTTGAGCCTCTTGCGGGCTTCCTGGGCTCCCAGATACAGGGGGAGTCTTGCACGACTCGCGATTGCTTATTGGGTGCGTTTTGGGGGGCCTTGTAACCAATTTGGAAGTTCTGAAGCAGTCAGAGGGGCTTCTGGAACTGCCTTGGGTGCGCCTGGAACAGACTTGTTGTTGCCTTGGACCAGTCGCCTCAACGAGGCTGTCCTGGTCTGGTCTTGGGCCATCTTGCGGCCGCCGCGGGTCAGATCTGAGTCATCTTGGAGCTGTTTTGAGAACTCAGACGCCGTTCGGGCGCTGGCAGGGGCGTCCCAGACAGGTGGTCAGACAAGTGACGTGTAAGGGAAAGGAGGGGGAGGAGGGATTTGGGAACTCTGAGGATGAGGAGGGGGAGGAAGAGGCAGGACGAGACAAGCGCAGCAGGAGGATGAGGAGGATGAGCAGTGGAAGGAGGAGGCGGAGGATGAGGATGAGGATGAGGATGAGGATGAGGATGAGAATTAGGATGAGAAGGAGGAGGATGATGAGGAGGAGGAGGAGGGGGAGGAGGAGGGGAGGCGGACCAGTGTAATCCCAAGACGCATCAAGGATGTGCAGCACACCCTCCCTCCAAGTTCCCCCCGCATAGGTCCCTGCAACAATTTCTTTGCATCGCTGGGAGCGGCCCGTTAGAAGACCACCGTCCGATGATCGTCAATGTTGCCAGAACGCGTTTCCTGGGACTTCAACGCCGCGGATCAACTTCACTGCAGCGTCCATCGTGTCAGAACGCCATTCCTGGGACTCCAATGCCGCGAATCAGCATGACTGTTGCGTCCTGACAGTCTTAAATCGTGGCAGAACACCATTCCTGGGACTTCAACCATACGATTCCTTGAACTTGTTGCAGATGTTTAACACGAGTATGCGCGGCGCCAGGGCGAAAACCATCTTTCCCCAATCAGAGCTTGCCTCTGTAGGGGTCCTAGCGGATTCATATGTGTAGGTGACCAACGTCGCCGATGTCGGCGGCCGGGCCCAGGTGCCCGGGTGCCTGGGCGCCCGTGTGCCCAGGTGCCCAGGGGGCATGCCAGGAGGTGCCCGGGGGTGCCCAGAGGTGCCCGGGGGTGCCCGGGTGCCCGGGGGTGCCCGGGTGCCCGGGGGTGCCCGGGTGCCCGGGTGCCCCAGTGCCCAGGTGCCCGGGTGCCGGGGTGCCCCGTGGCCTGGTAGCTCTATAGCCCTATAGCCCTATAGCTCTGCAGCCCTAATAGCCCTATAGCCCTAATAGCCCTATAGCCAAATAGCCCAATAGACCAATAGCCCTAAAAGCCCTAGAGCGCAATAGCCCAATAGTCTTATAGCCCTATAGCCCTATAACCCTATAGCCCAATAGCCCTAAAGCCCTATAGCCCCATAAGCCTACAGCCCTATAGCCCTATAACCCTAGAATCCTATAGCCCTATAGCCATATAGCCCCATAGTCTTATAGCCCTACAGCCCTATAGCCCCATAGGTCCATAGCCCCATAGCCTTATACCTCTATAGCCCTATAGGCCTATAGCCCCATAGCCCTAGAAATATTAGAAAGAGCGTGTTCTACCGCTGCTGGCGGAAAACCAGGGGGGGTCATTGGGGGTTCCTAACCCGTCCCCCCCTCCCCTCGAAAACCGGGGGGGGGGTCACTACCTGGTTTCGACCACCCCCCCCAAGGTCAATCATGAAAAGGGACGGGGGGGGGTCACTACGGTTCGCACCCCCCCCTTGTTTTTTTTTTTCTTCTTTTCCTTTTTTTTTTTTTTTTAGTTTCTTTTTCTTTTTTTTTTTTTCCTTTTCTTTCTTTTCTTTTTTTTTCCCCTCTTTTTCTTCCCTTCTTTTTTCTCTTTTATTTTTTTTTTTTTTTTTTTTTTTTTTTTTTTTTTTTCTTTTTTTTTCTTTCTTTTTTTTTTTTCCCGTTTCTTTTCTTCCCCTTTTTTTTTTTCTTTTTTTTTCTTTTCGTTTGTTTTTTTTTATTTTTTTATTTTATATTTCTTTTTTTTTTTTACCCCCCCCCAGTCCATCATGAAAAGGGCGGGGGGGGGTCACTACCGGTTCGAACCCCTCCCCCCCCCCCTTCGACAACCGGGGGGGGGTCACTACCGGTTCGAACCCCCTCCCCCCCCCTCGAAAACCAGGGGGGGTCACAACCAGTTTGAACCCCCCCCCCCCTCGCCGCCGGAAAACGATGCCCGCTCCTCGGGACAGTTGGAGAATGGTGGGGATGTTGGGACAGTGGTGGGAGCGGTGGTAGTGGGGACAGTGGTGCGGGGACAGTGGGACAGTGGTGCGGACAGTTGTGGGGACGGTGGTGGTGGGGACAGTGGTGAGTGGACAGCGGGACAGTGGTGGGGACAATGGGACAGTGGTGGGGACAATGGGACAGTGTTGGGGACGGTAGTGGTGGGGACCGTGGTGAGGCGGGTGGGCGGACAGTGGGGGACAGTAGTACAGTGGGGAAAAGTGGTGGGGACAGTGGGGACGTGGGGACAGTGATGAGGTGACAGTGGGACGGTGGGAGACAGGCACAGGGGACAGCGGCGGGGACAGTAGGACAGTGGTGGGCACAGTGGGGACAGTCGGACAGTGGTGGGGACTGTGGGGAAAGTGGGGAGAGTGAGACCGTGGTGGGACAGTGGTGGGGAGAGTGGGGACAGTGAGACACTGGTGGGGGCACTGGTGGGGACAGCGGGGACCATGGTGGGAACAGTGGGGACAGTGGGACAGTGGTGGGGACGGTGGTGGTGGGGACAGTGGTGTGGGGACAGTGGGAATGTGGTGGAAAAGTGGGACAGTGGTGGGGACGGTGGTGGTGGCGACAGTGGTGAGGGCGGTGGCGAGGACGGCGGTGGGATAATGGGACAGAGGTGCAGTAGGGACAGTGGTGGGGACAGTGGGGACAGTGGTGGGATCAGTGGGACAGCTCAGTGGGACAGTGGTGGGGACAGTGGGACAGTGGGACAGTGGGGACAGTGGGGCAGTGGTTGGGGCCGTGGAGAAAGTGGGG